TATCACAACTTCTTCCTTTGATATTCCGCGCTTTATTCATTTAGTTTTTATTTACATAAACTCATGCATTTCAAAGGATTGAATTAAATTGTTGTGTGAATTAAAATTTGATGCAGTTTTAAACCCTAGCGTAAAGAATGTAAATAAAAGTCTGGTTATTATGATTAGAATATTCATTTTAGTATTCGTTGTAACATTCACTAGATTTAATACATTTTATAATATGAATAAACTAAGAAAACTACCTCGCTAATTTCTTAGAGAACGATTTTTGGACCCCCCCCCCTTATCTTCGACCCTGTGTTTGATCATGAATAGATAAGATATCTTTGTTTTTATATTCTAAAATTTTACAGTCTGAATAATAGTTTCTCTGCAACAGTCACGTGGTCTGATTTATACATTAGAAGAGAAGAATGTTATTGTCAAAATTTATAGAAAAACGTGCTCATTGCTATTCAGAAGAAGGTTTAAAGATTTCTTATAAGCTATGCAACACTTTATATCAGAAAGGTCACCATAAATTATATTTACAGTCCCTTTAAGAGATTTTAATAAGAAAAAAATTTTAATGTTTTTTATTATTGGAAGAAAACGGAACAAATTTTTTTAGAACCTTAAAATCATAGAATCCTTGACACTTCAACCTTTTTTAACCTTTCCGCGAAGATATGGAGATACAGAAGATACAGAGGTGGATTTATTGATGGATGAGTTTCGGTGTGCGGCAGGGTTCACTTTTTACTCCAGGTTTCACGGTCAAATTCCAGGCACTACATAGAATAGGCCTCAGACCTGCATAGATCATACCATTCTTCTTCCTGATTAGAGACGGCATTGCATACATCCTTATTATTCATTTTCTGCCAGGTTCAGATAAATTGTTATGTTTCAACCACTTTCTAAATTGAAAGAATAATCATTTGAAAAATTTATATATAATGTATTTTCAATATTTATTTCACTTTTTTTTATTGTTTAATTTGAAAGCATGTATATCTTGCACCATGTGTTTAGTGTGTTATACAATATACAAGCAGTACATTGTACATATAAAGTGTATTAAATCATTTTGTCTGAAACTAGTTTTGCTCTGCCTTGTTGCTTGAATGCCAAGGTTGTTGTAGTTTATGAGTAAGCAGGATTTTGTTTTCCAAGTTTTCATTCTCTTTCAGTGCTTATACTGTAAACAGTACCATAGTAGGCTCTGATAATTCCACGGATTTCTATCCAACAAAACATGCAAAAAACACAATTTTTCGATTTTCTTGTTTTTCAACAGACCCCATAAAGGAAACTTTTGTAAAGAGAATTTCGTCAGAAAAATTAACTAATCTCACCTAAATTTAATTTTAAATTTAAAACCACCACCCTCCTTCCATTTACTCTCTTTTCAATACCCTATTTATAGTTCTCGATTCCTTTAATTCTATCCTCCCTAATCTCTAATAATTAAAAACAATATAATTCTTTAAAAAAAGACAAAACAAATATAAGAATGACAAATAAAATCAAGCTTTGTTAAAAAAATGATTCTCTAAAATTTGAAAACATTTGTTTGCTTACCAAAGCCAAGATATTATAAAATCTATAAACTTGGAGTCATTTTAAAATTATATTTTCCTTTTTTGTCACAAACTCAGATTTTCTAATCCAATATTGTAGACCTTAAATATTTCAAACTATGGATTCTGCAAGATCAAATAGTCTAAGTTTTTATGGATTTGGAAATTTGTGTTTTAGGTAAAATCTCCATTTCTTTAAAGAATTTGAAACACTTTGGAAAAAATTTCGAATAAAACATATCGATTTTTTTACCCCCAAGGTACTCATGGGTCCCCTCAAAAAAAAATTCAGCCAATTGGTTCGTCCGTTTGGCCCGCAATAGCTATCTTTACCCTAAACAGGCTTCGACCACTCTCTAGTCTTTTGGTCCTAGCACTCTCATTCTGTACACTATCACTGTGAAATGTTGCGACTTTTAATGAATAGAAATTAAAATTTTTTTTGTAGAAACTCATTTTTTTTAATGCATAGGAGGGCGGTAAAATGTCCGGTCTGTGTAAAAAAATCTAAAATAGCCCATAACTTTATTCTGATTAAAGCTGCAGATCTAAAATAGCCCATAACTTTATTCTGATTAAAGCTGCAGATCTAAAATAGCCCATAACTTTATTCTGATTAAAGCTGCAGATAAATAGCCCATAACTTTATTCTGATTAAAGCTGCAGATCTAAAATAGCCCATAACTTTATTCTGATTAAAGCTGCAGATCTGAAAACTATGTTTTTGAAAAGCCATTGAAAATTAAAAAAGAAACATGTGTTATACTTTGATATTTAAAAAAAATATTGCTTACATTTGTTTACCATTTTTTTGCCTTTTTTTAGCATAACATAAACATAAAGAGCAAAGAGCTTTCTTACATAGAAGAATATATTGCAAGAATCCCAAATACACTTTTTCTTCATTTCTACTTTTTAATTTTTTTAGTTTTTATCTTTCGTTTTACTCTATTTTGTTAATAATGAATTAAAGTTTAACAACTGCGGAAGAAAATAAAAAAACAGAAATTTTATGAAGGCACCATTGTTACATCAATTTGTGCGTATTCAATCAGGAAACTTGGATCCGTTAGAATTTTTGAATAAATATATAAAATAAATTAGCGAGGTTAAAAATAACGCTTAAATGGTTGTTTTCGAAAATCACGTTTTTGGAGTTTTTTATTTCAGACGATTTTTTCTTTCTGGATAATTACCAAGAAAATTATGTAATACGTGATAAATTCAAAAAAAAAATCTTTCGAAACTTTGTAAAGATTTGCATTGTAAGGCTTTTAAAACTTTATTCATGATTATATCTTACAGATTTAGAGACGTTGAGTTCAAAATTGAGATTAGTGATCACAGTACACACCGTGGACAGTGGACATCTTGGTTACTACACATTTAAAATATTTTTGAACCTCCCACATTTTCACACATTCTTAAATATATTTTTACCTCCCCCGTTTTGTTTTGATGTACCCCCCCCCTTTCTTCCTGCAACTTGTGAGATTTTAGATTAGAATTTAAATATTCTCAACTTCTCTCTCTCTCTCTGAACGTTTCCGCTTCCTGTGCCCCTCCCTCAGTAGATTGAAATGAAAAATATAGAATTTAAACCATTTATTAAAATTAACACAGCCAGTTTAAGAATCACAGCCAAAACAAAACTGGAGATTAGAGGGAGGGGGGAAAAAAAGTCTCTTTTGCTGTCTCCCTTTACTCTCAGTTTTGTAAAGTAGAACAAAAATCACAAACCGTTTTTGGGAAATAATGAGTCACTTTTTCATAGCTAAGAAAGAGACTTTAGTTTTTATAAAATGCTCTTACAAGAAAATTTCGGTTTACGAAATTTGTTCTACATAACATTTTGTAAAAAATATAGATTTTTTTATAAAAAAAACTGACTTAAAAGATGGGTTTAAAGGATTGGGAGTTGACGGATTTGCGGTGGGGGATGGGTTAAAACATGTAGAGGAAAGGGGGGGGAGAAAGCTTGTAAAAAGAGGGTGGGGGTCAGACTGGCTGAAAGCCAGAACAAATTTTTAAAATACTTCTTGGCAAAATATTGTTGAAACTAATTCAAAATTACAGGATGAAATTTCACAATCATCACATATACCAATTGCCGGAGTACAGCATTTACCTCGACTAGGGAATTTAGAAATAGAAACGAAGAAGTAAAAATTAGTTAAAAAAGAGAATATTTAGGATCGCTTGACTTTTTCAAATTTTAAAAATTGATATCAAATACTAGAAGGAGGAGCTCTAGCAGGGGGGGGGGGGTATTCTTTTTGTACAAAAGACATTATTTTATATACATACAACAAAACTATTTCATTATAAGGCAAAATTTACAAGGTCTTAAAAATATTTTTTTTTACAAAATATAAAACTGAAACTAAAATTTCAAGAATATAATAACCTTGCATTTTTAATATAAAGATATTGCAATTTTGAATTTCAAAACCATTTTTCCTTTTAAAAAAACAGTTGAATTTTGTTTAAAATTAGAAAGACCCTGTGGCATAAAAGTTGATCACTATAGGTTACCAACAAATACTATTTTAGCATTATATATATATATATATATATAAATGTACTATATACAAACTAATCTATGTTAGTGTTAATATTTAAAACTTTTATAACAAATATTTAGAAATATTTATAAAGATACATTTTTAAGAAATATTTTTTTTTCTACAAACTATGTTAGTACATTTCTATTTATCTATTTTAAAAGTAAATAGACTCATTTTTAAACATAATGTATAAACAAGGGAGTTGAAATTTGTTTCATTTCATTTTTTTGCGTGCAAAAATAAACAAAAAAGTTTAATTCAATATTCTTTCTTAATCTTAAGATTCTATTTTTACTATTAAAATTCAGAGAAAAAATCGCAAAGACTGCTTTTCAAAAGTTCTAAATTCTTTAAAAAAAAAGAAAAATCAGCAGGATTTTTTCTCCGCGGAGGTTAATACATAAATAAACGTCTTTTAAATTTCACCATAGCTTATATAGGGTAACTTTTTGTCGTCTTTTTTTTACATGGAGAATTCTGAGTCGGCTTTTCTGGAACGAAAAAGAATTAAAAAAATTATTTTCCAAATTTTTTAAAATGTAAATTAAAAAGGTTCGAGAGAGATATTTTTCTTCTAGGTTTGGGAAGACAAGATCTATGCTCTTATCTAAAGGATTTTATAAATCTGATATAGCTAATAGAAGAGTATATACATATAATCTATTATTGGTATAGTCAGATCTTTGAGAAAGGTTCAAGAAATATCTCTGTTCTTGGTTTTAGGAACAAGATCTCTGATTTAGGTAAAAAAACACCTCTAGGTTCTTGGTTTTAGGAATAAGATCTCTGAAAAGGTTCAAGAAATATCTATGTTCTTGGTTTTAGGAACAAAATCTCTGATTTAGGTAAAAAAATATCTCTGTTCTTGGTTTTAGGAAACAAGATCTCTTATATAGGTTCCATAGAAATTTCTGTTCTTGCTTTTAAGAAACAAGATCTCTGATATAGGTTCAAGAGATATCTCTGTTCTTGCTTTTAAGAAACAAGATCTCTGATATAGGTTCAAGAGATATCTCTGTTTTTGCTTTTATGAAACAAGATCTCTGATATAGGTTCAAGAGATATCTCTGTTCTTGGTTTCAGGTTAGAACATCTCTGAAATAGATTTGAGAGCTAACTCTGCTTTTAATCTCTGATCCTGGTTTCAGATAGTTTTCAAGTTTCTTATTTTGCTACCAGAGCTCCCCTGCTGCTTTGTCTAGAGTATCCTGGAATATTGCAAAGATATAGGGATTAAAAAATTTGAGTTTGTTCGACTTATCTCCTGTGAACATTAAATGTAAAAAAGTCTAATATGAAATATGTAAAATCTAGATTTAATAAGGGAAAGTGAGTTCTAAAGTTAAGACCTGGACCTATAGTTTACCGAGCTGTATAAGAATAGTAACCTGAGTTAGATCCTGAGGTAGAGGCAGGTCCCCTGGGTCTATGTGAGTGCCTGGAGTTTGGTCTGCTGGTGACTCCTCCGACTCCATATTCTGAGGTCGAGCTGACCGATCTGGCAGTATCAGCTGGCAGGTAGGGAACTGGGACAGTCTTAATACCACCGTTCAGTGAATACCTAAATATAAAATTTAAGAAAATCGTCAAATTCATTTTTCTCTCTTTGTATAGGCTATTTTTTCGACATTTGTTTTACTACAGTAATTCCAACAAAACTAACAAGTACAGGGTGTCCCAATAAACATGGGAATTCAGTGACGAATTCGATATCGTCTTTTTTAAATAATTCTTTGATTTAGTATAATGATACCTAGTAATATAAAACGACTAATTATAGACTAAAGATATGATTTTCAATAGTCCAATTAATAATAGCACAGCAGTTGTACATTGTACAATATCCATTTTAAAGAATAAGTTTATTTTTAAGATTAATGCAACCAATTGTTTTTGTAAAAACAAGAAATTAACCTTGGATGGATTGCGTTAATTACTGAATTTTCAATGGTTTTAATAAAAGTCGGTAAATCTTGACAGGAAAAAATTTGCATGAAGGCTCAGATTAAGAGAAAAAAATACATCTTTTATCACTATCACTATCACTACTTTTATCATTATCATTATTATTTTAGTTATTTTATTGTGTAATTAAAGAGCGTGCAACAATTGTCAGCCAAGCCCAGCCTTAATCAAGCTCCATTCAGTTTATATTTTTTTTAGATTTTTATCCAAACATAATTCTGCAACCTTGCACTTCCTGGGTTGCAATTTCCGGTTTGCAGATTTGCAAATTAATTCGTAAATATTCAGACTTTTTTTTACGACGAATCAAAAAATGTGATTTAGAATTTTAAAAATGTAAAATGTCTCTTGAAACTGAAGGTTTTTTTTCACCCTGCTCAGCGCTTCATTATTGAAAAAAGCTCAATTATACGCTCCTCTGTATTAATTAAATGATTTATTATATCTGCAGACATGTTTATGATATATTTGGTAATCTATACTAATTATTTGCACACTTTGGCAGGGTTGCAATGTGCCAGCACAGATTTTGCAATGGTCCTCCTCCCCGACCCCTCATACATCTCATCCCTCCCCCCTTTGAAAGAAAACCTAAATCAATCTTCCAAATGAAAATGACAATGTGCAATTTACTCTTCTAAAATATTTCAACTTAATATCAATCCCTAATATACGTTCTTTTTCAGTTTTAAC